GTGTCTGCAATGCCAACTTGCTTGATTGCTTGTTTGTCAGCGTGTTTGTTGTTCTACTACATGAGCGCGACACAAGCGTTGCGTAACAACACAACAACAACAACATTTCTTCTTTCTCCTCCATTTTTGGCCTGCGTTCCAGTTCTGTTGATTTACCGCCAGCTAATGCTATTCTTAGACGACGCTGCCACACCATAGACCACTTACTTACATACATACATACATACATACAATTGCTGCATTGACATTGCACTCGGCGGATATGGTTGGTACTTGCATTTGTTTGTACATAAAATCGCCGCACGCAGTCAAAATAAAGTGTCTTCTGCGGCTATTTAAGTTGTTTTATGGCCAAAAGATTGTGAAAACGCAATGGGATTGGTTGAAAGCATTAGGCGTTAGGCGACAATGATGGTGGATGGTGGTTGGTGCCGTTGGTACATATAACTAAAGCAAGGAATATGCTGGCACGCAAGCGCTATTTATGTATCACACACGCTCAACCGCACAAAGTACTCGTACGAACGCTGTGTTTACGAAGTTATGCAATCAGCTACGCATGCGCGGACGCAACGAGTCACGTGAGTAAATTGCAATCAATTTCCAGCTGAAAGTAATTTGCTACATCGGTAAAGGTTGTTTTTGTGACAAATTGAATTGGGAGGGGATGTGAATATTTATTCGAAGGTAGATAGGTGCATTTTCTATTGGTATTTATCATATATATAAGTATGTACTTACGCATTTAAAGTATTTCGTAGAGCTTCATCAAATGACGGCTGAAGCTGAGCTATTCAGGTAAACCTGTGTATAAATAAATGCAGAAATGAATGGATATGGTACTTTTCACAAGCAAGTATAAGTGGAAGGGAATTGCAGAATAAAGAACGACAAAGGCTAGCAACGCGCTATGTGGAGGCAAAAAAATGCTTCATCGGTTAAATCTGTTGTGGTGAAGCATTGGAGCTATGCGGCGGCAGTTAAACCATTATTACTTTTTGAGGCTCTGGGGTGGTGGGTCACATCGCAAAATCCAGTACATTTTTTTGATAGGAGATATAGTCTGGTTTCCTTATTCAAAACCGGGACAACTCCAAATTCTGCTTTGAAAAGATACTCAATTTATCGCCAATAGAGCTTACAGTTTAAAAGATCTACAGGTGAATTTATCGAAAAAAAAACCTCCAGACATAGCTCCATAATCAGGATGATAGATGGCTGCACGTTTCGACCGAGAGAGATTCCAGACCAAAACGGAAGAAGTGGGTTGACGTAGAGATATGTGAGAATAGCCATAGAAGCTTTCACAATATAATAATAGATGGCTTCAAGATATCCGACTAAGTAAGCGGTGGTGTGTACAGCGAGGAGTTGGCCATTGAGCAGCTATTTCAACTGCTTAACCTCTGTATTATATTTCAGGAAGAGGTTCTCGTGCTGAAGAAAGAACTGGCACTTGGAAACAGTGGAATTAAAAGCAGCAGAACTATAAATATGCCTACATTTAAACATTTTCTAGGAAGCAGGAAAGTGATAGGAGTTCTAATCACGAATAGGCAGCAGCATATCTATTGGGCTCCAGCCCATGAGCGCATCGAGAGAACCGCAGTAGTATAGTAGATGAGATCGGATGGATCCAAGGAAACTCTGCTATTCGTATTCAGTGATCACATTTCCGTAGATTTCTCGAAAATCGGACAACGCTGGATTCAGCAACAGCTCCGATTACTTAACTGTAGATCTTCATTCGGTCATCTTGTAGCAAAGTGAACTGAACTCTCCAGTCCCATGGGGCATTATGATTCGAAGTTCGCATTGCTCTAGTCACTGAAAGTAAGTTCCCCTAACTCTAGGCGATCTAGTAGATATTTATTTCACTTCTGTTGCAACCTGCAGTGGGATTCTGACAATAGCTATGCTAAATTTTCATCGTCATAATTTTGCATGTGAAAAAATAAGGCCTAAAAGCATACAGCATGATGAAGTACAAAGCGCAGTGTGTAATCAACAAAATCTGGCATGTAACTAGATGTTGCATATTGTTAGGCGCGTCAGCTATTTTTTTTTTTGGGATTTTTGGCGATCAAAATTAGCGATAGCGATTTTCAGAAAAGGGCGATGACCGCAGTCCTGGATACCACTGCATTAGGTGTCAACTAACTTGTAATTAACTACTTGTGGACATAAAATATCAATAATATTTGTTTACTCATAATTATTTGTGCCAAATACTCCAGCCGCTCCAACCCAGCAAACATGAAATATATTTACTTTATAACATTACATAATTGCTTATTTGTTTGCATATTCTGCTGTGGTCTCATATTCGCATTCCGTCAGAAATAACATCAACATGACAATATAAAATTTCGATCTTTGTTTTATTTGTCCTTAAATCGAAAAAGTATTTATGAAGTGCAGACAAAAAGTGCATTCAAAGCCATTTTTGTATGAGGATATTTTGATAGAAACTTGTTTAAAGAAAGTTTTGTCATAACTAATTGAAAGTTTCAGTAGATGATTTTTCACAGCAGGGTTGCAACATACGTATGTATGTAGTTGTATTAGGCCAGTATATGTATTATATGCAAAAAACACAAAGTTTTGTAAGTAAAAAATTTATTTCGTTCAGAAAATATTATAATACACTGATTTTTCTTTTAAAAAATGGGAGGGTCAAACGCCATTTTCGGTATATAGTTTGTTCGCCATTTTTGCTTAGAATCGAACGCAGAATCCGAATATGTCATAAACTTTTTTCGAAATTAAAGTACTCCATCCTAATGTATATCATAAATTTTTGCTCCTTTTCCCTGTATGCATTTGACGAGTATTTCCACAAATGCGTACCAATTGTCCGTTAATTATTTATTTTTGTTATTTGCTAATATTGAGTATGGCTATTGCAGTCAATGACCTTTTTGCCAGTGAAATTGATGCGATTCTTATCTCGATTGCATCTGCCACATAGTATTTATGTATGTGGCTTGTGATGCTGCAGATTCATCATTGAAATGACTTTCTGCATTGTCACAGCATTCTTTGTGTCCCTTTGCCATTCGTTGGTGGTCGCGAAGGATTGCTTCGTCTGACCGGGGCGCCGCCGATTGTGTTAATCAGATTAATAAGACTTTGCTTTGATGAGTTGCAACTGGAGCGCCGACACAAGCGCAGGAAGTTATCAGATATGATCGACTATGTGTACATTCCGTGAAATTGATTTCAAATAATAATATGGGTGGACATGTGAATTTCATAATGCTCAATCAGGGCAGTTTCAGTAAAGCGATTTCAATATCTCATACATGTGTACGTAAATATGTATTAAAATGCAACTAATGCTTTTGTTCAGTCGCTGTACGCTGAAAAATTTCATTATTTTTAGACAGAGCAAATTCTTAAGTAACTAAATCATCAGCTCTGCAACTATTCGAGGCCTTTAGACTGGCTGATATTTTTCGAGCAGCATCCGTTTTCGGCCTAATTAATATATGCAGGAGAACAGCTCGATAAGTCAGCGACCTATTATTTGTAAGGATAAAATAGGTGGACTTTTTTGAAAAAAAAAAAAATTTTAAAGTCACTGACTTATCAAACTGCCCTTGTATATAAAGGGATCCCAAAAATTAATTGCCAAATTCGATATACATACAGATGATAGCAATAATCGGCGACGTCTGACAACGCTTTACCAGCTTATTCGAGCAGCGACCCCGCCAAAGTTAGCGCACCAAAAGATTCTTACATATTCGCCACACAGAAAATATCTTCTCGTACTGAGGATCTGTCTTGCTAGCGTCCTTTAAAAACCCCATTCGGGATTGGAGTGCTTAGGATACTGAGTGACCTATGGAGCCACTAAGCCTTAAGCAGACTTAGGGGTTCTCTTCCTGGGACATATCATCGATATATAGCAAAAAAAAACGCCAGCCAAACAAACTCTGCCTTAACTACACATATCTCTAAGCTCTCCCACGGCAGCGAAAAGCCTCCGGGATATTCGCTTCACCGACACAATATACATATGTACGTAGTAGATATAATGAAGGGCTCAAAACACTCATGGGACTCCATATGTTCCACAATAGCAGAAAACCACCGACAGCTGAATCAAGAAGGAGCACGGCGGAAAAAGTTGATGCAACTCCTTATGACGAAATAGTTGACGGTAGTATCTACCGGGGGTAACTGTACCTGGAGGTAGGAGGTTTAGTGACCTAAAGTCCCACACTGACAGGCTAGGCTTTCGATGCTTCGTCCTCGTAAAAAAAACCGCACTGGTAGGGTAAGTACAAAGGCAACTACCTCTCACAAAAATTTTACCATCCCAGAGTCCCGCAGTGGCAAACACCGAACATACAGCGTTTGGTGCCTTTTCACGAATGGACCCACGGACATCTTGATGACATGTGGTCGAGTGGAGCCCCTCTTCAGAGTGCGTTGCTCTAAAGCCTCCTACCAAGACCGATATACTGCTCGTTTTCTGCACTGCTCGCTGATCAGAAAGGGCCAGGTCTCAAAGTAGGATGTTGTGAAAGTGAAAGAGGGCAGTTAGAGGAGAAAGTCTGAAATTAAGGATTTCCATATCGTATTATGCGGAAAGGCCATGAAGCTCTATAAGACTGCAATGTATAGAATATTCGATTCTGCGATAAAGCGTTCTTTGTTTTCTTAATACAATTCAATTGAACTTCAATCTGATAAATGTTATTGATAAGCAATATCAGATAATTGCCGATAATCTATGTTTTGTAAAGTATAGTCAAGGTCTATGCGTGCGTATTTATGTATGCGTAGAAATTTTAAAACTTACATATTTATTTTGCATACTTATACTACATATTTATACTACGTACATAAACATAGGGTCTATTTTTAATCATACATATATAGTTATCTACGAATTAGCCACTAAATATTTGATAACAAAAGAAATAAGGTAAACTAAAATACAAAACTCATTGATAAAAATGTAAATATCAAGAATAAGTACCGCTATGTCCTTTCTTTACCAGCCACAACACTCAAGCGTGACCATTCTTGCGCACCTCCCACTTCTTGCCCAACGCCAAATCGCGCGCCTGATTCCTTAATATCTTACCGCTCCCCGTTTTTGGCAGCTCGTCCAAGAAGAAGACACCACAATGCAATTGCTTGTGCATCACCACCAACCGTTTGGCCACATACTCAACAATATCCTGTTCCAATAGCTTACTACCGGGAATCTTGACCACCGCCGCTGCCGCAGCATCGCCATCCACCTCATTCCACAGCCCGAAAACACACACCTCCACCACATCTGGCAACTCGGCAACCACTTGCTCAATTTCGTGTGGACAATATTGCATGCCATGGAATTTGAGTATATCCTTCTTTCTATCCAATACATACAGATAGTTTTCGTTGTCCAAGTAACCCAGATCGCCGGTGTGGAACCAACCCTGATAGTCTTGTATGCGTTTCGTCTCATTCGGATTGCCATAATAACCATTCCAGACTTTGTTGTTATGCACCAGTATTTCGCCAGTTTCATTGTGACCTAAACTGCGTCCAGCGTCGTCGAGTATTTTCACCTTCACACCCGGCACCAGTTTGCCCACCGAGCTTGGCTTTGTGATGCCCAAATTGGCTGATACACCACCGCATTCGGTGAGCGCGTAACCGTAGGATATGTAACCGTTCGTCAGGTATTCTTGCATCTTCAACAACGTCGGCACATAACAATTGCCGCCACCAATGCTGAGAAAGCGTACGCTGGCCAATTTTTCCTTGGCTAGAAGTGGTGACTTGACGAGTGTGGCAATGTGACGTGGCGCTAGCGTTAAAATAGTAACTTTGTACTTGTCGATGAGCTGCAGCAGATACTCTGGTGTGTAGGGTTTGTCGACTATAATGCGCGTAGCGCCGTGACCGCAACTGAAAATCATATTAAACAGGCCAGTGGACCAGTCAATTGTGCTAAACGAGAGCAAAACATCTCTGCTCGAGACAAAGCTGTGGGGTAAATAGGAAGAAGGCGGGATTGGTTAATAAATTAGCGGAAGCAATAAAAACTGTTGTGAAATTACCCATAATCGAAGAGACAGGAAGAGTTTGAAATGCAAACACCTTTCGGTGGGCCAGTGGTGCCAGATGAGCATAATATGGCCACAGTTTGATCTCCGCCGATCTTAAGAGTTTCCGGGCTGTAAGAAAAAAACGATTTTTAGTTAATACTTAACACGATACAAGAATAAATTGAGGACATATATTAAGCCTCTTCTAAGAACCTAATAAATATAGTAAGTATCTCAGTCGAAAATGCTAAGGTGTGGAGTTACTTACGTGATTTGGGGCATGAAAAACTGATGAAGCTTAGCAGGTTAGACACTCAGGCAAGGAGTATGTTAACAACAAATTAAAGGTGTACGCAGGTCACCCATCGGCAATATTTAACCAGCTAAGGCATTGCGTTTCAAATATTTGCCAGTTAAAATCCAGGTTACCAATAAGAAAGTAATTTTCCTTTAAATCGACAGTTCTAAAATCGAATGAGATGTCTGCGGTTCGGAAACTGGACTTTTATTTAAAAATAAATTAAAATAAAAACCACAGACAAGGGCTCCGGTGATCGGCTAAATTTGCGACACACTCAAACATTAGTTAATCTAGTCCCGAGCCATTCACAAAGTTACCAAAGTGGCAAATTGTAATACCCACAGTTTTCTCAGATACTTCAACTCGTGAAAGCTGGACAACCTAAAAGATATATTGAGGTGATTTCACATCAATGTTAACTCCATTCGGACAGACCCTGAGCCGCCTATAAAAGCAAAAGCTTCCGTCAAGTTTCGATATGAAAACGTTCACTACGTAATCGCTACAGGGACCATGTGTAAAGAAAAGGTTGTTTGGAGCTATTTCAGAAGCTCAGTGATTCATCTAATTCACGGCGAAGTCAAATAATTGAAAAATTCGATGCTTCCCAGACTTTGGGTTCGTTAAGCATTCAGTTTCCCTGAGCCTGCCTGCAACCCATGCTGTGGCAGTTTGGAGTGAACCTCTAACCAACAGAATCCCACAGCAATATAGGGCAGCGCCCGCTTCCTATCAAGCTACTATCAAGCCCATGTCCTTATTCATTTTTAAAAAGCTGTAGGTAAAAGTTCCTCCTCCTACTTCCTCGTAAATAGAATCAGAACCCGAGTCACGACATCCTCGACAAGTTCACTTTTTCAATCAAAAATTTAATTGGAGAGACTACGAAGAAGAAGAAGTAATTGAATATGCTGGTACAAAGATGCCGCCTAAAGTCGTTGGGCTAGAAACTGAAAACTTTGGTGTGTAAGATTTATGCCCAATAACTTCAAGTACTTGCTCTATCCTTATCTGACGGTCTTGTAAAAATATTCATTAAACACTCACACATAAAACATTTCACCCTTTGTGGGTTCAAGCAAATCTTCAATTTTCGGCAAATCCTTACGATGTTCCTTCAGCGTATAAACATTGGCCTTCAGTATTTTACTTATAACACTGACACGGTCGTAAATGCCGCCATCGCAGAAAATCAAACGCGGACGACTAATGCAGAATAAATGTTTGATGGTTGCTAAGGAGAAAAAAAAACGAATAACTAATACAAATCTACTAAAATACATAAATTATAAATGGTACACACTCACACTCGTCATGATGCGGACTTATCGCATGAAAGGGCGTACAATTCAATAAACAGCCCAAAACCAAGGGCAGCAAATAGGTTGTATTACCACCAGCTATGCCTATAACATCGTCTTGCTTCAGACCCATGGCCTTGAAGTGTTGCGCCAAGCGGATACCAAAACTAATCGCTTCGCCATTTGTAAGAGCTGTGTTTTCGGTATCTGATAGCTATTTATGGTTGAAGAAAAATTTAATTGGTTTTAGTATTACCTATTAGCCACTTCAAATGCATTTCGCACTCCACGCACCTGACATATATTTCCGGGATTGTTGCGCATAAATGCGAATAGCACTTTGCCGATCGAACAATCTGGATCGAAGAATTTCGACGACTTTGGACCGCTCCATATTTTTGTGTATTTATCGAATTCTATATTAAGCGCATCCATCGCCATTTATTTTTATTTTTATTCTTTGCAAGCGAAACTTCCTCCCTGGCTCATCTGGGACACGTTCGCAAAACAAATTGGTATTATCCGAGGGAAGCAAGCGCTCACTTGCCAATTTTGCTATCGACTGGCAATCAATTTTTTTTTTTTTTTCGACTGAATGGTCAAAATCGCATTTTTCGCTCTGGTTTAGTGATTTTTGATAAGCATTGTTGATAAGCGCGCGTCGTTTGATTGCACGTATGCATATGTTTATATATAGACGATCAAATGTACATATGTGTTTGAGAGAGAACATCGCACAGCTGTGTCGCTTACGCTTTTTTATCACTGGAATACTTTTGATGATAAGATTGAATATTTGGCTTAAGAAATTAAAAAAATACCGAATGGCAAATGGAAAAATGTTAGTATAAACCTTTAAAAATTAGCTAGAAAAAATAGCTATGGGCTTTCGCGCGAAAAGGAGCTCAGTAGAAACTGTAGTAACCAATGCTCTTGATTAAGACGCGTGTGGATACTTGAGGGACGAGGCCGGAAATCGGACAATAGGAATCGGCGGAGTAGTGAATCGATAGAGGAAGTCTGCATACATAAAGACTTTACTGTGAGTGCCTTTCTTGGCATCGGTTGGTTCTTAACGAGTCCTACCGGATAAAATTGTCAGATCATAGTTAGGGCAGGGTGGTGTTCTCACTCCCATCCTTTGGATTTAGGCCAGCTAGAATGAAGGAAGCTTTTAATGAAGGATAAATTTCTGTATGCCCTGAACCTAGTGACTAAGTTATTTGCAAACAGTCCTAGGTAAGACGGAACTCGTATTGTTCACTAAGGAATATTAGATACCCCACGCGTCTTAATCCTCAATCGGAGCCATTTGCTTAACGCTTTCTGATAGAGTTAAGTTGTTGTTATTAATTTTAGAATGGGAGCTGTAGGGGAAGTCTAATACCGAGGAGGTTGAAAAGGGCATTCGTGGATCTTTATTGCTGGACCAGTGAATTAAAAAAGACAACGCTTGTCAGAGAGCTGGAGCGGCTACAGCAGCCCACCTTCCTTTGAAGAACTAGATCGCTATCCTAGAACTGCTGCGGTCAGCCTTAGGGGTGCCGGAAACTTAATTTATTCAGGATTCTGACACTCTAGTATTCTTGGCAGCATCGATTTCATCCCTGATAACAAGCATAACTAAGAGGCTAGACTGTTACCAATTAACTCTATCTGCACTCAAATCCCATTGGACATATTTAAGTGAACGGGAGGCGGAAAATGGAAGGAGGCACCACTGACTTCTACACGGATGGATCGACGGAAGTCTTTTGTTGGAACTATGGCAGCCAGAAACGTTAATGTTTTCCAAGTTCGCGAAGTCGGCAAGTAATCTTAAAACATGTATCTTCTAAATCCAATAATGAGGGCTTTGGTCTCACTCGGGGTAACTCTAACTACTTGCAGACTGCTCTTGGGCATATGAGTTTCGTATGACGAAAGCCAGGTAACGTTGAAACTGTATAGTCTTTCCAGCCGAAAGTGGACCCCATCCGGTCAAGGGATGTTTGAGGGATAGCCAAGCCGCAACTCTCTATTCGTTTTGTAAGTTGCTTAGCGGTGTAGTTATCTCAATACTTAGATTACTCGTTTTAACACTACAATGCGCGGTGTTCCAAATTTGGCACATTCAAATTTTGATTGTACTATAAATGCTAAATTTTTACAAGTAAGTTTTAGAAATTTCTTGATTTTTCATAATATGAAGTAGCGAAAAAATCATAAGTTATATTTTTCATAGATAAATTGTGTAAATATAAATAAGCTTTCTTTTTCATGTTCGTCAGACTTTTAGGACAAACAGTGTTCGTAGATATTGTGCTGCATAGTGAGCGGTGCATTGACGTATTCTAATCCAAACCAAATTTTCGATATTTTGACCAATACAGCGGAGGATAATTCTGAAGGTCCAGAATCTGAACGAATGAACCAAATTCTGAAAGCAGGGATGCATTTCAGCCCCAATAACATTTAAAAAATATATCCAGTGTTCCAGGTTTGGCACGAAGGGCTTTCTGGGTAGGTGAAAGAACCTAGTAGTTCTGGTGTTAACTAGTCCTGGCTATCAATATACATACTTTCAAAAGTAGGAGTCAAATTGTAGTAAAAGTGCGTTTTTAGTTTTTCTCTCGCACGACAGGATTTTTTAATGCTATGTGGAATAACAATATTGGAAAAATGAAAGAAAATTCTGCGCAATTTAAAGAATAAAATTTTTTGGTTCACAAGGACGAACAGGTATTGAAAATGCCCTTGAAAGTAGTTTTTTTTTATTCTAAACTGAAAAAGTTAGAAGGAAGAAATTCGAGGATTTCGGTGCGTGTATATTGGTCCTTAAATCTTGAATCTTTTCCAATTCTACAGAACTTTCTCTACATTGCACAGAAATTTTTAAATAATTTTTTGAATTAATCACATCTGTGAAAAATCAAATTCATTTAAAAACATCCTAGGGTCAGAGAGAAAAAATTACAAATGCAGTTTTACTATATTTTTGGCCCCTGCTTTCGCGAGTTAACTGTCGCAAGGTGTTGTGGTTGTATTGCCATTATCCTTAATAAGTATTACAGTTACCTTTTATTCATGCATAGAAACATATTTATTTATTTCTACTAACAACAAGTAGCTATACATTTGTGAGATTATCTATATGGTTGTGAAATATTTAATCATTTCCTTACATAATGATTTGCTTTATCTAGAATTATTACAATATTTTTAATTAGCCTAAATAAACAAAGAAAAATAGCAACATTGCATTGAACATACTTTTCTTAAACTTAATAACACTTTTACTGCGCTCTCCGCTCCGAGATAAATAACTTTTTAATCTCCTCGACATTTTGCTTGCCATTCGGCAATTTTGGCAACTCCTTCACAACTACCGCTCCAGCATGCAGATGCTTATAGTCGACTTCGATATGCTCTTTCACATAATCGATAACATCGCGTGCACTCAATGAGCTTCCATGTGCGCCAGCAACAACAGCAGCTGCTGCATCGCCCTCTTCCTCATTCCACAAACCAAAAACACAGGCATCCACCACATCTGGCATCTTGACGATCACTTCCAAAATTTCATGCGGACTATATTGCATACCTTTATACTTGAAAATATCCTTCTTGCGATCCACGATGCTCAAATAGCCATCCGCATCAAAGTAACCCAGATCACCAGTGTGGAACCAACCATCTGCATCGCACATCTCCGCACTTGCGGCGCTATTACGGTAATATCCCAACCACTGTTCGCCGTGATTGCAACAAATTTCGCCGATCTCTCCGCAACCCACTTGCTCACCATTTTCATTTAAGATCTTTACCTTATGACCTGGTTGCACGCGTCCCACCGATTGCGGCTTCTGCCTCAAATCGTAATTAATAGCCACAACTCGGCCAAATTCACTAAACGCATAGACGTTGATCATGCGGCCGTGGCGCAGATAATTTTGTATACGTTGCTGTGTGCGCGTAGTACATTTGCCACCGCCTATTACAAGGTATTGCAGAGTGTCCAATTTGTCGGCATCAATTGCCGGACTATTGAGCAGCGTCGTCAGTAGAGGTGGTGCTATAATAGCAAATGTTGCCTTAAACTCAGACACTACCTTAAAAAAGTATTCAGCATTGAATGCCTGATCGGTAATAATACGCTTAGCGCCAGCAACAATGCTGTCAATGAAGTAGATGATGCCGGAAAGCCAGTCAATCGTACTTAGAACGAAGAGTGTATCTTTTGAAGTGAGAAAACTGAAAAATGTTTACAAGTGAATGCTGTGAAATGTAACTTAATAACCTTAAAGAAATTAACATAAAACCTAAGGAAGTATAACTCACGGAAAAGTACCGCAAAGTCGCTTATTGTTAGAGATGGTTACAGCTTTCGGAAGACCCGATGTACCCGAAGTGCATAAAATTATCAAAGTTTGTTCGGGGCCATTCTCCAAGGTTGCTGGCCTATTGGAAAAGAAAAAAAAATACACTTATTTACATAACTTCGTTTCTCCTAACAATTTGAAGATGTTGGCTGTATATCGATATCTGAGTGGAAGATCGAACTATCTCGGCAACCAGTTCGAAAAAGCCCTATCTCAGAAAACTTTTCAAGAACGCCCTACTTCAGAATTTGATTGAAAAACAGCCTATCGAGGAATTTGGTTGATGAACGTCCTATCTCACAGCACAGTTTCAATGTATTTTCAGCTGAGATAGGGCGATCTTCAACCAAATTCTGAGATAAGGTGTTTTCCAATAAAATTCTGAAATGCGGCGTTCTTCAATCAAATTCAGAAGTGGAGTGTTCTTGAAAGTTTTCTGAGATAGGGCCTTTTCGAACTGGCTGCCGAGATAGCTCGATCTTCCACTGAGGTGTCGCATCTAGGCTAATCAGCTCTGGCTCTGCTCACACACCTAAAAGGTTAAGTGAGAGGGCCGTAACAGCTGGAGGAAGGCTCTGGTGAACTTTTTCATTGACGGGTCAGAGCTTGACAGCCAAGTTCATGGGGAGTGTTCTGTAAGAAGCATCATTTTCAAGACTAGCATCCCATCTTCCGTTTAGTTGCCGAACTTATTCGAGCCTGTGGTCTAAGCACCATTGAGCCCACTTTTTAACCAGCCCTGAGGAGCTGTCCGATACTAACATCAGCTGCCTGTGGAACTGCGTTCTCGGCCGACAGCGTTTTTTCGTAGATAAGAGCTAGACAACTCTGGGTCTGAAAATCAGATAGTTTTTTTTTATAAGAGCCTTCTCATGACAGAGGTTTGCTTTGCATGCCGGGGGACGACTATAATTAGAAAATAGCTGTTTTTGTTTTTATCTTTATATAGGTCGGACCAGAAGTCAAAGCTGGGTCCTTCATGGTGGTAGCATGGACCTCTTACTACTCTGTGGTAGGATGTTCTTGGGATTACCCTTTATCAGAATATTCGTAATACGCATTAGGCTATTGAAATGTTACGCATAGCTTCATAAAAAAAAAGGCACCAGCGCCTACATTAGACAGATTTATTGCCTCCTTCTTCCAATTTAATTACTTTTTTGTAAACTTTTTGCAATATGAACTTACGCAAATTTGTTTTCGGTACCAGTTGGTTGCAGGAGTTCAAGAATAGACAGAACATTTGGTAAATGATTACTCAACGTACATAATTTCGCTTCCAGTGCAAGCGTTGCACCTTTGATTTTTTCATATTCCTGTCCATCGAAAAAAATCATTTTTGGTTTCGTGCTGTCGAAGAGATCCGTTATCAACTCTGTTAATTATAAAAAAAAAAACATTTATGAGCTTATGCGTCACACACAAAAAAAATTAAATCGCCACCTACTTTTCTCACGCACGGGATTAACCGCATGCAATGCTATACCATTAAAAAAGCATGCCAATACGAGTGTCATTAAATGGGTCGAATTCCGTGCCGCTACACCAATAATGTCGCTTTGTTTGAATCCCTGGCTGTGAAACCATTCCGCTAGACGAATTGCATGCAACAAGGCTTCTTCGTTGGTCAAACTCGTCCGCTCCGTAACGGAGATCTGTCGGACAATGCATTGTTATTAATACATATGTATGCATAGGGTTTTTTTTTACCATACTCACTTGACAGATGCTTTTTGGTCGCTTTCGCATCTCTTCGAAGAGTATACGACCCACGGATGCATTCCGATCGTAAAAGTGCTGAAATTTAGCGCCATGCCAGACTTTCGCCTTCTCATCATACCATGTACCTTCGCTTACATCCAGATCGAACATTGCTGCGAGATGATTAATACAGCGAGCGGCTAGAAAGATTTTTACAAAAGTCTCAACTTGGTCAGCAACCGGTGCGGTACAAATATCCAAGCTTAGCAACTATTTTTGGTGGAGTCAATCTGCATTTAGTTAGTAGTTTTCAAAGTTATAAAAAAATTAAGTCATTACATAAAAATATAAGTACATATTTAAATCAATAAGTGGCGGTGCTGGTGCAGGTGTACTGCCTAAACTATTTATAGGACTCGGTGTAATGGCCCCGTCAGAATGGCTACTTTGCTTACGTTCCGCTCAAGGATGAAACTGACAGTTGAGTAGACTGTGTGTGTTTGCATAGAGAGCGTCAGATTGGCAACCCATGCGTCGACGGACCCAAAGAACGTTGGCCAACACTCAACTTCTGGCGCAAGTAAGTCCGGCAATGCTGGTAGTTGTATAACCTAACGTTTACACAAGACAAGAAAATTGAGAATACACATGTATGTGTATGTTAATTGCCACATTTTTTGAGTAAAGTAGGCGTCCAGACAATAGACTCCGTTCGAAAAGCCAAAGACAGTGACGAAGACACTGAGAGAAGTGTGAATATATTAATAAAGAAGTGCGATTGTATTGCCACTGTAGCTGCAAAATTGACTTGTGTAAACGCCAAGGACGCAGTCATAAGGAACAGCTGATTTTTGTTTGCAGACGCAACATCTACGTTACGTACGCCACTTGCTCGCATTCTTTTCCGGTATTAACCATTCTAAGCTCTTATCTTTTTGATGAAGTCATAAGAATCGACATTTTCTATATCAGTCAGTGGACTTTTGACCTTCCATACCTGCAGAACTTCTAAAGGCAAGTATTACCAAAAACAGACGCCTCTCAAAGTGCAGCCCTGTGGAGGTTTAGGGAATTCTTCCAGTTTTTTTTTTATGATGTTAAGTATTTAACTATATGTACCTTATTGAAATGCTCGTATGTCCGCAATATGCAACAATAATTATTTTTAAAGTGAAATATTTTAATCAACTTCGGAGATGTTTACACCAATAGGTGAGTATAATAACTTTTCTAGTAAAAAATTACAACGAGAGCATAAAAACGAAATAGAGCATCAAATTGAGAGAAAGAGAACACTAGCAAAAAAGGCTAATGAACGCAAAACTATTTTCCATCGACATGCAAATCAAAAAAAATCTATATTCTGTTGATTTAAATTGCTCATTCATATTTTCACTTCACTAATTTTGTTTTCAGCATGTATTTTCATAAAATGTTCTTCTTAAACATATTGTTTACATTTGAATTTGAAATATTGACTGATCTTTTGACATCTGCAAATTCCTGCTAGTAAAATTTTGACTTGCAAGAACCTGCTATTCTCTCGGGTTTTTGTAATTATTTGTTAAGTTTGTTGTTTTTTTTTTCTTAATCAAGCGATACTACCTTGATTAGTAAAACTATAAAAAATAGTACTAATTTTCTGAAAAAATGGAATGAATATATGTATATTGGGTGCATACATTTTTGAGATTTTTTTCAAGATTTTTTCTCATTGTTTTGCTTAAAACTGGGTAAACGAATATTACTAGTTTTTCAGTATCTAGTATATCATCTGCAGTGCAGTGCAAAGTACATATGCATAACTGTTCTATAACCCCACTGCTTTTCTCATCCGGTTTTTCTTCACATTCCTATTCTGTAATCAAACACAAATGATTGAGGTAAAATTGAGAATCTACTATGGAAGTATTAAAAAATAGTATAATTCCATAATCCTTAAAATTTCTAACTATCAGATCTTCAAAAATCTGCCTAAAGTTAAAATTTTGGCCGCAAAAATGTCGTATTATCGTCCCAAATAATACTTATTTAACTTTACTAAAAAAACACATGTTTATTGAAATATGCATAGGCTCATCTAAAGTACCACATTCTGTTTACTTTTCAATCCTTTCTGAAACATTGTATTCTTCCAAACCATCCAAGACAATTTCAAAACAGATTCGGTGGTTTCTAGAATTGCTTTCATCTTAGATACAAAAATGTTAATGCATTTATCGCGTTCTATATAAGATTACTGGCACAAAAAAAAAAAATAAAAATTTAACAAAACCTTTCTCATAGATTAATAACCCCTCCATAGTCCGGTGCAGATTTGTAACAGCTTCTATAAGTGAGTGTAGTGATAGAGGAAAACAAGCACATGTAATGAGGCAGATAACTTATCACTTTTACATATTGCAAAAAATTTAATTGAATTATAGGAAAATATATAATCAAAACTAATATATAATCAAAATCATAAGAGACAAAGATTTCAAAAGATATTTTCCATATGTTAGTCCCGCTTTGTTTAAATAGACTAATTATCAAAATTGAGTAGTACAAAGCTCAATTCGCAATTGCTCACGCGAATACTTTCTTAAATATGTTCTGTTATTTATTGCTAAAAAGAAATGAGAATCGTTATCAAGTCAATAAAAAGATTAGTCACCATAAAATAAACATTAGAAATTCTCTCTTACGATAAATAAAAAAAAATGACGATTTTGTGAGGATTTAAAATAAAAATCCTTCATAATAACAATTATTGTTTTTTTAGAATGTTTTTTTTTTTAGAATTTTCATTAACACTAATTACTTTTATAGTATAGCAATTTTTTTTTAAACTTCTTAGAACTCAAACAGTTATGTTTAAACACAAGTATTTTTTCCAAACCATTCATTGATTAACTAAAATGATGAATTTTAAAATTCCCTCACCACAATTTTTCGCTTAGGTTTAGACAATATTTCATAAAACAAAGGATCGCGTTGTTTTCATAAAGAATTTTAACTATCGGACTGAAAGCATTTCTAGAGACGCGCGATGTTTATAGCCACACGAATCAAATAGAAATGTAAAATTTCTCAAACAACAAACAAATGTAATGTTACGGCACTTAAGTAAGTTAAAAAAAAAATTCTAAAACTAAAAAAAAGAATTAAATTAAAGCAGATGCACGAGTGATAATGCTTAGATGCTCTTAACGGGTGGTGCAAATGCAAGTGAAGCTTTGAATTAAATGTTTTTTTTTTTTTTATCAGGAGTAGATATTGGCAACTGATTTGCCTAGAAAACGTTCAAAACCATGGAAAAGGTTAAGGACTTGTACGAGATAAAAAAGCCAAGCTGCTGGCGTGATTTTTTTCTGCCATTTAAATGCTTGTTTATTCTGAAAAGGAAGTTTTGTTTATTTTATTTTATTTTCAAAAAGCCCGTCCGTATTTGGAGCACCCAGTATTGCCTGGCATATTCCTTCACCATAGCTTGCAAAAAGTTGATTGCATTTGTGACTGAATTAATTTACTCGGGGAAATCGTAGACTCTTTAATTGAATGATACACGTGCACATAAATGTCTGTCTGTCCAGTGAAAGCTAGCAATATGAAATAGAGCTTTCTATTTATTCAGCTCAGCTTGAGCTGCACTATTCACTTAATAGATTGGTGCATCTTCACTTGAAACTACGTTCCCACGTCAGCTTCATTCGTAATTCGTTCTCGCATTTAAGACAAAAATAAATGGTAAGCCATAAATTTGAATTACTTACTTGCCGTGTAAACTGGGCAAATGGCATTCGTAATTGAAAAATTGAACAACGTAATTTGGCGCCGCCCGTGGGAACTTGGCGTTTGAGCCATAGCACCACAGTATGATGAGCAGACAGTTTCTGATCTACTTACATAATGATTTTAAAAATAATGAATTTTATTATTTACATTTAAAAATCACTTTTCAAAATTATGAAATATTCGGTTTGTGCAAAGTCGTGTGAAGTTCAGTTCATGGTCCAAACGGGTTACGCAGCGGTGGACCGGAAGTGGTCAGGCCCAGCGACATCGCAATGTTAAAGTAACCATTTCCCCCCATATATTTGGAGCATTTCGCGGGATGAGCAAGTTAACTAGAAGCTTATAAAAAAAGTTAAACAAATACATTTAATCTCCTACTGATAAGAAATCCCTGTCGTAATGTATTAACTAAATACATGCCAATCAAATGCAAAAAAAAAAACCGTAATTAACGATTTTTAAAAACCAATAACGATTAAAGTGATCAAGGTTATGTCAATCATATTCAAGAGATTCAACTTCAGATAGTGTTTGCTGTAATATATTAATTAGTAAATGTAAATGATCTTTTGAAGCTGTGTATGTACTAGGGTGTTCAACTATTCGGCTTTTCTGCAAAACCGCATTTCGAGTTATTCGAAAAATATCAATTTGGAAAAAACTGGTTCCCGATTTTGAAATTAAAAAAAAAATAAAGATAAACCGGTTTTACTTTGCATTGTTTTTATACATTGAAAATGTTTATGTTGGTATGAAGTCATGGCCAAAAATTACAATAAAGCTATTAACATTATAGATTGTTTTTATTTAGAAAAGAGCAAAACAAAATAAGTTCAAAGTTTTTTTAGATCAAAACTAAATAAAACAAGTAAAGAAATATAAGTTCAGGCGAAACTGAATTTTATATACCCGGCGGGCGCAGGTATCAAATATCGTCGCGTTTAAACTTTCTCTCAACTACCTATGTATGCATGAAAATCAGGGGTGTTCTCCCCGATTTCAAATGTTTTCGATATTATGCTGACTTAATGAAATCATTGCACCAAGTTTGGTATAAATCGATAAAGCGGTTACTGAGTCTATAACAGTCTTATTTATTGTTAAGAGATTGTTGTAAGTAATAACTTGGAGTAAATTAGTGTTCTCAGTTTTTGAAATATTGGTGGTGGTTATTGACCGATTTCCAACAGAAACTCTGGCCGAGTTTGGTAAGGATTGATGAAGCGGCTACTGAGATACAGCATTTCATCATATGTGGGCGGGATCACGCCCCTTTTTCAAAAACTTCATAATACATAATATTATTTTTTAGCAAAATTCTACTACACTTACTAATTTTCAACAATTTGGATCTAATATTTACTGAAATATCGTAGTTCTTTCATTTTTCGAAAATTTCGTTATTTGAGAAGAGGGCGTGGTTACAGTCCGATTTTGCCCAATTTTCAATAGCAACCTACCTTGGATAAAGGGCAGCATATATACCAAATTTCGTTGAGATATCTCAATTTTTGCTAGAGTTATTCTGTACACGGACGGACGGACGGACAGACAGACATGGCTTAATCGACTTCTCTTTTCATTCTGATCATGTATATATTTGTCTATATCTATCTCGATTCGTTTTGGCTTTTACAAACAACCGTTATATGAACAAAATTATAATACCCTTGTGCCCAAGTGCGCTCGGGTATAACAAATGAAAACCATTGAAAAATTCACGTTTGGTCTAATTTTAACATAAAACAAGTAAAAAAGTCTAAAAGCTCAAACAGTCAACGACGTAGCGTAGTCGTAGGTTGACGCAGACACGATCTACCTTATGGGATTCGCGTGTTAACAAAATGTTACCACCGCATGGCAGTGACGTTGCCGTTGCTTCTCTCTCTCTCTATCAACAGTAAATTTGATATGTTGCTACGTACGTCAACCTACGTTTACGCTACGTCGTTGACTAACTGCGCTTTAAGTTTGGACGAAGCCGAACATTAAATACCCGGCGCAGGTATTAAATCAGATCTAAAGCATTTCTGAAATTTACCGTTATATGAAAAGTGGGCGTAATTTTAGTCCGATTTCAATAATTTTTGACGGTTTGCTTTTATGTGGCAAGCTCATTGATCACACCGAGTTTGGTACAAATTGATCGAACGGTTACCGAGATACACATGTGTGGTCATTAGTAGGCGGTGCCACGCCCATTTTCCAAAATTTTATCATAAACGTATTTTTTGCTAAAGAGTTATTGCAAACATCAAGTTTGAATAAATTAGCTGATTTATCGAAGATTCCGTATTTCTCTAAATTACCGTTATATGGGATGTGGGCGTGGTAATTTTCCGATTTAAAAAATTCTCAGCCGTTTGGTATGTGGTACCAAAACTATCGATAGTGGCGGCAGTTTTCAACTATCCCAGCTCTATGTACACACGCTAGCCAAGTTTTGCCAGAGACTTTTGACCATACTGTACACCATGTAGACAGGGTGCCACAAAGAATTAACAATGCACATATTTCTCTGGGTGTTTAACTCTGCTAGCGAAAGTTCTGAGGTGCGAAACTATGCTACTGGAAAATGTGGTTGTAGTAATCTTTTGCGTCGATTGCATTAGATAAATAGCTGGTAAGATAAAAAGATTTTTACCTTTCAACATTTCAAAGAAATCTAAGATAAATTCTGCTGCTTTCTTATTTGAATGCATATTGAATGGGCACTTTCAGAATTAAATCAGAGAACGTCTATAAAACTTAATATAACTTAAGTGTAAGTACTTATAGCTTATAGTTGATTTACCGATATACAAGCTGAACTTAGCTTCAGCAATTCGTCGTTGTTCATGCCGACCGTTCTGAACACATGTGTACATGAGTATTCTAGGGTTAAACGGGTTTACTGTATATAAAACTAGACAAGACAGTCGAGTCACTTCAGCGGTATACCCGAATAAATTTGTGCAAGCCTTTAGGTGAACAAACTACCTACAGTTAAGAAGGCATAATAATCTTAGGTACCATATACGATGCAAATACTGTATGTATGTATATATACATATGTATGTATGTATGTCTCTGGTATATCCCACTCTCTGGTTTCCCTCGCAATGTTCCATACCTGTTAAGTATTTAGCGGATAAAGGTGTATACACCGCGCATGGAAAAGCCCAAAATAAGTAAAAGCGATTAAATGCTAAGCCAAATGAAAATGTAGAGGAAGAAGAACAATAACACATTTGACAAAGCATCCTTCTTTGAATCGGAGGCAAAACAAAGAGTAACAAAATTTGGGAAAATTGAGGAAGGCACACTTGGCGTGCAGACATCTGTTTGATGAAATCGAGTATAAAAGAGAGAGAGAAGTGAGTTTTGAGATCAATGTTAACACGCGTTTGTTGAGACAAGGTTTGAGCTATTATTTACCTCTTTTAAGTTCGCCGTAAAACGTGAATTTTTCGTGTTTATTAGGACTTTAAAGTGCATATAAAATTAAAAGAAAAAAATAATAATTTTAAGTTGCTTAAGGCTCACAGCATTTTTTTTACTAGCCACTGCTATGTATCCTACACAAGTAAACGCTTTCTCGTGTGTTGAACCAACTGAGCTCCCAATAGAACACCAACAACAACAACAGATGGACCATCGCCAACAACAACAACAACAGCAGCATATCAACTTCAATGTCATACCAACAGAACAGCAGCAACAACAACCAACGCTTACTACTAATCTCAACTCCAATGTCGATAGAAAATTTGCAACGGCTTACGTGCGAGTTGTGGAGCAACCAGCCAGCAAAGCGCTTAGATTTCGTTATGAATGCGAAGGCCGTTCTGCCGGCTCAATACCGGGCGCACATTCGACGCCGGAAAAGAAGACCTATCCAACCATCGAAATTGTGGGCTATCAAGGACGCGCAGTGGTGGTTGTCTCCTGTGTGACGAAGGATGCACCTTATCGCCCACATCCACACAACCTGGCCGGCAAGGAGGGCTGCAAGAGTGGCGTATGCACTTTGGAGATAAAAAGCGACTCGATGCGTTTGGAACTCAACAGTTTGGGCATACAGTGTGTAAAGAAGAAGGACATTGAAGCGGCGCTGAAGGCACGCGAGGACATACGCGTTGATCCGTTCAAAACTGGCTTCGCACATCGCTTCCAGCCGGGCGCCATAAATCTGAATGCGGTGCGTTTGTGCTTCCAGGTGTTCATTGAGGGCGAAAAGGGACGCTTTACAGTTCCACTAAAACCTGTGGTGTCCGAGCCTATCTACGACAAGAAATCCAAGTTGGATCTCGTCATACATCAAGTTTGCAGCTCGGCGACAGTTTTGGGTAATACGCAAATTATGTTGCTCTGTGAGAAGGTTGCCAAAGAAGACATTGCGGTGCGATTTTTTGAAGAGCGAAATGGTGTCACTGTTTGGCAAGCGTACGGCGAGTTTCATCCCTCCGATGTGCATAAGCAAACTTCGATACGACTTAAGACACCGCGCTACCGCAATGTGGACATAACAGAACCAGTCAAGCTGTTTGTACAGCTGAAAAGGCCTTCAGATGGCGCTGTAAGTGAGCCGTGGGTATTCAAATATGAACCGGTCGATTCGAATCCAGTGATACTGAGGCGTAAGTGTCAACGGATCGGTCTACGCCCAATCGAACAACAACCACAACAACAGCAAAAGCAGGCAGGCGATGCACGCTTGACGAATTGGAATATACCAAACTTGCCAGAGATTAAGGCGGATATCAAAGAAGACCAAAGATCACCAAACATTAATCGCGGGGCTGCCGAGCTGACACCATCTCCAGAACCGTTGTTGCCCGTGTTGAATAACCTAAATCAATCAAATTTACCCGCAGCCTACAAACCGATTTTTCCGCCTGTTCCAAATCAATGTCAGCGCACTGCAGTTGCTGGTCGTGGCGGAGGCGGTGGCGATCCATCAAATGCAGAGCTCACTCCCATCACAGTTGAGAAGCATAATGAGAATGGCGCCTATGGAGGCAGCCAACAGCAACAGCACCCACAGCAGCTGCGTCCACCAGCGCCAAATTACGCAACACATCCTCTGCGTCAACAGCAAACGCTTCCAGAGCAGCCACCTAGCGATCAGCGACAACAACACTATCGGCAGCAGCAGCAACAGCAGCAGCAACAACAACTGCAGCAACAAAAACAATATTTCCAAGAGAATCTGCTCAACAATCCCAATGTGGGCGTTTGGGAGGAGCAATTTGCCAATGTGTTGGCCTTTGCCGCCGCAGCAATGAGTAATTTCAATGGCGGCAGCAATCAGTTTAATATGCAGAATTTATTGGCCGCCACAGCGCCAAGTGCAATGCAGCATTCGCAATGGAATTTCCCCTTCAATCATGTGCCGCAGCGAACGCAAAACTATCAGCAACATTTGCAGTTGCAACAACCGACACAATCGCAACAACCACAACAACAACCCCATCAGCCATTGCAATCATCTTTCGCACAGCAACCAAACGCTGGTGATGATGTCACAATGATGGCCACAGCCGATGTGAATAATGCTGGTGCCGTTGGCGGTGGCAGTGGCGGTGGCGGAGGTGTTGGGAGTTGTGAGCGTGGCGCAACGATAAGTAATCTGTTGAACTTGGATAGCGATCAGCTGGTGCGCGTCAACCAGGAGGAGCAGCAAATGTTTCGACTTACCAACGAGGAGCTGCAGCTCTCCAATCTTACCATATCGGTGTAGAGACTTTGGGGAATTGGAGCTAATCAAATCAATTGTATGTACTGAGATGTATGTATGTTGCACAAAAGTATTTCATTTACCCTACTATTTTTCACTGTAAAAAATTGTATATTAAAATTTTAGAAATAACTAACAAAATTGTTGGCACTATGAGTAAGCCTGGTAATAACCTAAAAAAATATTTTACATATAAATTTTTGTAATCTATTTATCATATAAAAACGTATTGAACACAAACCTGACCCGATGGGCTCCTTCTTCTTATTTGGCACTAAAACCTTTAGTCCGTTTGGGCTGATAGCTTCTGCACTAACCTAGTGGTGTTAGTGGCATGGGTCTTGCGCAGAAGGTTTCTCTCGGTAACCCCCAACGCTTCCTCATCAGAAAGAGAATATAAAAGGACGAGGATGATAAGAGATTGCTATTAATCTTAGATCGTCGAGAGAGGCCTTCATTAAGTTTTTTGCCATGTCTTCGCCCCCTTAAAGTTCTCCAATGGGCTCTCTTTTAATCAGCCGTTGCTCAGGTCTTACCTCTTCCCTGATAACACACGTAAATTTTGCACAAAAACAAAAAAACCACATATTTGCGTAACTAGGGCCCAAAAATATTAAAACTACGTTTTTAGTTTTTCTCTATGGCGTCAGGATTTTCATTAAAAAAACTTTGAAATTTTGAAAATGTGATAAATTCAAAAAAACTAAATGTAAATATGGGTACCAAATAAGCCGTTTATTTTGAAAAAGTGGCATAAGTCCCTTTATTTTGAAAAAGTGGCATAAGTCCCTTTGTTTCTAAATCGATATATCGCACACGATCTTCAAAAGTGACACAACTCAAAATTACATGTTCGTCAGAAAATACAAAAAAACTATTTCTTACCACATGCTAATCATAGGGGCAAGGGGGACTTTATCTTATGTTCTTTCAACAAATTATAACAAAAATTAGCGCCAGCTTTTGCTGAAAGGTAAATAAAAGCTCTGTGTACAATTTAAAAAATGGCATATTTTGAGTTGTGTCACTTTTGAAGATCGTGTACGTTGTGTAAGGGTTTGCGTTTTAGCACGTTTAAAAATATTGATGCTAACTTTCGAAAAGAATAACTTGTAGTTGTTATCTTAGGATACCTATATTTTTATCAGTATAAATAATTTCGTATCTTCTTCTTCTTATTTGGCGCTGTAACCGCCTCAGCGATTTTGGCCGAGTTCAACAAAGCACGCCAATCGTCTCTTTTCTGTGCCAACTTGCTCCAATTGGAAATGCCAAGTGAAGCCAAGTCCTTCTCCACCTGGTCTTTCCATCGCAGTGAGGACCTTCCTCTTGCTCTGCTACCACCAGCGGATTACCCAAAACTATTCTAGAATTGTCTGGTTCCGGTTTACTTTGCGGCCTAGTTTGATCTCGAACCTTTTATAAAGGAAAGCGAAGTTAGGCTTATTTTGATAATAAAAAATTAAAAAAAAAAATCAGGTTTTTTTTTAATTAATATTTCCGTCTTTATTTATTCTTTAACCTTTCACACTGTAATTATTATTTCATTTATTTTTATTTGTTTTTATTCGCCATCGATATTATTTCATGATAAATTCAACATGACAATGTCTATTACATACACCATTTTATTTTATTTATTTATTTAATTTTTTCTTACTCACATAATATAAACATTATTTACTAAAATTATTATCCTTTTAATTTAATTTATTTAAAGTACATTGTTTTATTTAGTTTTCTTATTTATTTGCTAATTGTTCTTATACGTATATATGTACATACGTACATATGTATATATACGAGTTTTCATTATTACAAATAACACTTTGCGTACAATAGGTGTTGGTACTTTTTTTTTATGTTTGATTTCTTCATTTTCTCAAAGGTGAACATGTGAAATATCTGTAACTTTTTGTAAAGTGCTTTATGTGAATTTTTGATATTATGTTTTGTGTGAGATGAAACAACAGTGCAACATGTGAGCCAGTTTCCATAGTAGTAAGCTCATATGTATGTATGTATGTGACTTATGTATGGTTAATAGTAAATATTGTTTACTAAATTTATGTGTAGTTGGTGAAAAAGGGCGAAATAAAGTGTGAACTTTCAAAAAGAAAGTGTAGCTACAAAACTAAGTTGAAAACAACAGCGAAATTGATTTTAACCCTTTCGAGACCATTAAAGTCATAAGTATGAGGATTAAAGTAAAATACATTTTCAAAGTTTTTCTTTGTTTGAAATTATGGTAATTATGCACTAATTTTTTAAGCTACATGATGATGAAATGAAACCAATAACGGGTGTAGAAAAGTTATTTTAAGAACTAGTTTTAGTTGGTCTTCTCGGTCATTAATGGGTTAAAGTTTGACTTTGAATATTTTATTATCTTTTCGTGATAGTGCATATATGTATGTATGTAGTATGTACAATATATAGCCTTATATGACAGCGAGATATTTTTCGGAGTTGTGATGATTTATTATTTATTTCCTCTGATGTTTGTTAACATTTGAGATTTGATTTTTTAATCCTTTTTTGATCTTTTTTATAATTTTTTGTGCTAAAAATTTATAAGAATTTTAAAAATTTTTCAAATGATCTTTAATTGGCTTTTAAATTACCACAGCACAAGCTTGAGCTTTGGTAGTGGACTTTTTTAAGGCCAACAAGTTTATTCAGGCCTTGGATATAACATAATCACAATAGATTTTTACTCTATTCATCTTTATTGGTATTAAGAATTCTTCGTAACTTTTGGAATAGGCAAACCTTAGAAATGCTGTACAAGGTACCATCCGTTTGGTACCGGAAGCTTTTTAAAAACTCCCTGAATTTGTGTACTTTTAACTTAAGAAAGTCAAACTACTTCGGTTGATTATTCCCTAGATAGACAATATCGAGCCCTTACCGCTAAAATACATTATCGAAATTTTTTTCAAAACTTTCTTTTTGATGCAAAAATGCATCTAGATGCTCTAGGAATAGTTCTGCATAAAAAAACAAAATTTTGAAAAAATGTCGCTTACGTTATTTTGGCGGTTAGGGCTCGAGAGGTTGAGTAGAAGAAGTAAGTGCACGAAGCACTACTTTGAGTGGCGAACCATCTCTTCTGCTGTGGAACCTTTTGCTAACCGAATTTTTGTTTTCTCACTTACCATCTGGCAAGTTGCGCTGAAAGGAATGTCCTAAAGCTAATCCTTTCAAAACTGAACTAACCTAAGTGTGGAGAACAGAAATCCTTCGAATTCCAACACTAAATGTGAACTTTCTAATGATATTTGTGAACTTTCTAAGGATATTCTCGATTATTACTTTTTCTAATAAAAGAATACTTGAAAAGCTCCGAGATCTGCGACAGCTGTTGATAAATACAATGGGTATGCAGAGCGGTAGTTAGACGTAGTCTCATCCATGTTGCGTTGATTGGGAGGGAGGTGGTTGGTCCCTGTCTAATCGTCCTGAAAGGAGTGCAATAACAAGCATATCTTCCGGACAATTCAGTTAAAGATATGTACTTGTAAATCACTTCAGCTAAGAGCACTCGTAGACTTAAGGCGTTTATCAGGCTGGACGTAGTCGCAGTGGAGTATAGAAATTGCGATTACTCGGTTGCGGAAGTTGAATTTAACAGAATTTTCGAATATAAATTTTCCAACATATGTAAGTGACTGGGGACTTAATATCGTTCCACGCCATGATCATATCTTAGAATAGAAGGCTTTACAAGCAATGATTAACGATCTACCTGGCTCTATTAAAATGCACCTTAATTTGGAATAGTCCAGCTGCTATTCAGACCCTCAGGTCGGTTGCGACTACTGGATATACATATTTTCTGGAAGATCGAAGATCTCTACAATCTCCTAGACAGCAAATAGTCAAACACAAATGGGTACCAGTGCTCAGTGATTTTCCAGGAATTTAGTAAGTAGACGAAAGCGCGAGGAACACAGTTTAAGAGGGTATTAGCGGATTTCGATTCTCATGAGCTGAGGTGATGG